GGGCGGGCGGGAGGCGGCGGCGGGCTCGCTCGGCCGGGCCCCGGACCCTCGCCTGGCGGGTCAGGCGCGGTGAGCGCGCTCGGCAGCGGGAAGTGGAGCCCGGCTGCCTTCTTCCCGGGTCTCTTTTCTTTCTAATCAGCGAAAAATAAACACCCGGGAAGGTAAAACAATAGCGGGGCCACCTGGGACGCGGCGCGTTCGGAGCCCCCACGGCCGGGGCGCGAGCCGGGTGGAACCTGGAGCTGCGGCCCCATCTCAGAGCCCTTTCCCGATTTACTCCGGCGGAGGGTGGGGCTGCCCCGGCCGGGCTCGGTAGGCAGCCACAGGAAACCCCTGAGTGAAGGTTTTAGTGAAAGTAATGCAGGGACAATTGGGCTTCCTAGGATTGCCCTGCAGTGCCTCGGGAAACTGAGGCGGAGGGAGAGAGCGACCAGCCCAAGGTCAGAATGCAAAGGTTGTGCCTGATCAGAGACGGGATCCAGGTGTCTGTCTGGATCAGCCCAGCGCCCAGCCTTCCAGGTTTTTGTGCCGGTTGTCTTTGCCTTTGATAAATTTCTGCTGTGTTTGTTTTAGAGGTCTGGTGGCATTGTGGGACCGCTTCGGGCGCCGAATGCTCGCTCGCTTCTTGTGTCCTGGCAGCTGAGGGGCAGGTGACAGCTCCGTGATCTCCCACCATGGATGGAGACGGACTTTTTGACGAAGGAATCCAAACTGTCGACACCAGCCAGGGTGATTTGGCTGTCCGAGGTTTCGACAAAATCCTCTCCGTTTCCTTTGGGGAATCCGAATGAGAGAGAGATCACAGACACCTTCACTGGGAAGCCAAGGACATTTCTGTATAATCAGTGGATGAAAGGATTTTCTCAGTCTCCCCTCACCCTTTTTTCCTCGAGGATTAATCCACCACCACCTACAGATACTGTGGAAATTGCAAGACACACAATGTGGCAGAAGCCTAGAGCACCTTCAGAATTGCTCTGGACCCTTGCTTCGGCATAAGGGACTTTTCTCAAAGGTGCCACTCCTCCCTTCCCCCAGCTTCCGTCCTCTGATGGCTCCTCTTTAGCCAGTTTTCATTTTCTACATTAAGTTCTATTTCCAAAACTGTTCCCTTGGAGCTATCTAAGTGGATCGCCAGAAATGAGAGATTAGGTGCCAGGAGAAGAGGAAGTGCCCTGAGTGTGTCCCCTTGCTGCCGCTGCCGCCGCCGACATGAAGTGCTTTTTCCCAGTGCTGAGCTGTCTGGCTGTGCTGGGTAAGTGACTCTGTTTATCGGCACAATCGATGTGAAAGTGTAACCTGCTCTTAGTTCCTGTAATTCCTTGTGGTTCTTTCCCGTCAACACTATGCTTTCAGGGACGCCAGCAACAGCTGGTGTGGCATGGATTGGAATCGAGGACCAAGAGGCCCATTTCTGACCCAGAGAAATGGTGGTATGTTGTTTGTTTTTAGGCAGCAATATTTGCTGTCCGGGGCTTTGGGGTGAGGTCCATCACCCCAGATCCATAGGGTAAGGACTACTTGTGGATTTGTCGCCGGCTTCTTGGGAGTGTGAACAAGAAAATGGATGCTCCAGTGTTTGCACTTCTGTGTTGGTCGGCACTCTTGCCTGAGTGGAACTGATGACGTGATTTCCACTCTGTCAGAAAAGTTGGTTTGGTAATGAGATGCTGCTCTTCCTTTTTTTTTTGAGAGAGAAGTGGGGATGGGGAGAAGGGCTGCTTTGTTCTCCCTAAGTGGTCAGTGGGCAAAGCCCAGCGTGTCATCTTGGAAAGAGAGACAGAGAAATTGAAGCTGCCTGGTAAGCATGTGCTAGGATTGTTTTCTGTGGCCTTAGAGAACATGGGGATGTGCGGAGTAAGCGGAAGGAAGAATTGTAACCCTGAGAAGCGAGCCCTTGACTTCTGTCTTAAGATTCTCTTCCCAGGGAGGAGCTTGTCACCCTGACGGTTAACCTTAACCGTTCTTTTATGCTACTGAGCACACCGGAAGTTGGTGTCTTACAACTTCTTTTGGGTCTGGTATCAACTCAGTAGCCAGGCCTGGTACCTGTCCTGTCCTCAACCAGGGACACACCCCTTGCCTTGTCTTTGTGACTCAGACTGCTACCTTTAGAGGGGTCATGAGCGCTGCCTGTGGTGTTCAGATCTCCAAATGTGTCTCGTACTTAGGGAAACTATTCGTGATCTATTGGCAGTGAGGATTGCTTCTCCATGTTGTCGACACACATACAACCGTAAACAGGTGTGTGGCCCAAGGAAGGACGTTGGAGTTACAGGGCCTGAGTTCATGATAAAGCTCAGCCTCATTATGGTTGATATCTGAGCCTCCATAAAAAACCCAAGGGCTCTGGTGGTAACTAAAGGATATAGTGTGTTCTAACCTTCTTAGCTGTCTTGAATAATGGGGGAACTCACTATAAGAGTGTTCAGCTTGTAGTTCCCAAACTATGGCCCACGTTGATGTAGTGGAGGGAACTCTGAAAAATCCTGCTGTGCAGTGACCTCAAACAAATGAAACAAGATTCTCTGAGTCTTTGGCCTCTGCCAGGCCATTCCGTGGGGGCCTGAGACACAAAACTAGTGTGCATTCGCCAGTGGCAGCCTCTGTATTGCCCAAAATGCGCTTGTGTGTGTTCTTACCCACAAGCATGTGCGCAGACACATATTCACACAACGTTTCTGTACACCAGCTGTGGGTCAGAATACAGGGTCTCTTGTGTGCTTGAGCAGAGTCTCGAAGGCAGGTAGCCCGTCTTTGCATCACTAGATAATGAACTTGTATTTTTTGTTTGTTTGTTTTTGAATTTGTATTTGTTAGGCTGTGTTTGTCATTCGCTTAGTGTCTGGACTTGAGTCAGCAATTAGTGATTCCTGTGGATTCAAAAGGACTCCAACAGGGAAAGCCCTCTGAGGGACGTGGGTGTGGCGTGCATCTGAGGCGGGAAGAGGCCTGAGTGGAAGGGGAGGGGCCCAGGGCTGGGGAGGAGCCACCAATGGGGAAGCCGGGAAATGTGACATTTGTGCCTTTTGTTTCTTTTTGGCTGCTCAAGAAATGTGAAGGCTGCCGGCTGGTCTCCCTGCTGTTCGTCCTGTGCTGCTCTGGAGTGGGGCCTGGGCTCCAGTTCTGGGCAGGTGCCTTCTGCTTTCTCCTTACCTCCATGTGCAAAGAGGTGTCCTGGGGAAAAGGAGCACCCAGGTGATTGTAAGGGGAAGGTGGCAGAAGGCAGGCCGTAGGTCCAGGGAGGGACATTTGGAACTGGATAGGCGTGCTGGTTTCTGCCGGCTTCTGAGCCCCTCTCGTGGGACCTTCTCTGTTTTCCAGCACAGCGGAGAGGACACTTTGGTACTACCTTTTAGCCTGGAGCAAGAGATAATTGGAGAGGGAGTAAATAAGCCCATCTTGAGGTCTTTTTCTTTCCTGCTTAGAGTCTGGTGTGGACTGATTCCTGTGTCAGCATTCTTGCTCTGTACTGTGGATTCATGTGTAATTTGAACTAATGTGTAGTATAAATATAAACCAACAAAGAATCCCAGGCTCCAAATCCACGTGAGTCACACCACCTAGAATAAAATTTTGTTTATAAAATGTTGGGTAGAGCTGTATGCTTTTCGAAGTGAGACCGATCCAGGCATGAGCCTCAGAATTGGCAATTTGAGTTAGAGAATCCTGCTCCCACGTGTGTCAAGGGGTGTGTGGGGTGAACCTCTACGATTGCTCATGGCTCCCTGGACATCATTAAACCTGTGCTTCTCTGCTCCCTTCCTTTGCCAGGGTCTAGGACTTGGGTCAGAATCCTCGTTCACTGCCTATTGGGACACTGATCCTGTCGGTGGCTTTGTCCTAGTGGAGTTACTGCTGAAGTTCCTGGTTTTGTCCTTGTCCTCTGACAGTTAGGTCTTCTTGTTTTCATGTGTTGCAGCCCTGGGTGCCCCACCCTACCTGGAGCCACTGGCTGATACCACGGCTCTTGTTCTGTTTCCAAGCCCTCCGTAAGCCTGGGCTTCAGGGAGCTGGGAGAACAGTAAAGTCTCACTACGGAGAACGAGTGGAGCCAGAGGGCTCGGGGAGGAGAGGGGGTATGAGGGCTGGCTCAAGTGTGAAAAGAGGGAGTGAGGAAGGGTGGGCAGGGTGCCTGGAGCTGTGTCTGTGACAGTGACATGGGAGCATGACAGTGTGGGAGAAGAGAATAGGATCTGTGTGTGCGCAAACAGGAGAAGAAGAATCGGTAAAGATGTATGTAAGCTTTGGACACATTTGGATTTGTGTGCCATGAAGGGTTAGACCTCCCAGACCAGTGATGGGGTTGCAGGCATGATGAAATAGCTTAGAAAGGGCTCGTGATCACCACGTGGGTGGTGGCGCATCCCTGGATCAGCCGGAGATGCTGATGATCGCTTGCATTCTCCTCAGCTGGGAGAGAAGTTCATTTGCAGAGTTTGGGAAGCCTCTTGTTTGAACAAGATGGGACTGAGTAAGTGATCACTTACTTCCCATTTAGTGAGGGAAGAGGCCAGAGGGTGCTTCCCGAAGAGGTTGAAAGAAACTTTGATGTACTGATGGGCATGAGCTCAGAGGTAGGACTGTGGTGATCAAAGGCAGCAGCAGAGGAGGAGGGAGAGGAGAGAAGTGAAGTGGTTTAGGGCATTCAGGGGAGGGTTCTGGAACAGAGTGACGAGGATCATGATTTATGGATGAACAAACACTGCTGCTGTGACACTGTAGCAGAGGTAGTGTCTTTTGCTGTTCTAAGGACTAATAAAGGTGCTGGAGAAGAGAATTCTTATCAGGAGAACCAGACTGTAGGATGCTCTTTTGTAACTTTCTTTTCTTTTCTTTTTTTTTTTTTCTGGGAACCGAGGATTGAACTCCTCAGGCCCTTGCGCTTGCCAGGGAAGCCCTTATTCTACTGAGCCATCTCCCTGGCCCTTTCTTTCTTGTATTTGGTGCAGGGTCACACCATGCAGCTCGGACTCATAGTGATACTTCTGTTTTCAGCCTCCCCAGTGCAGGGATTACAGGTGCACACCACCACAGCCAGACTCAGGGCCAGCACAGCATGTGGTGCAGAGGATCGAACCCCAGTCCCTGCACTTGCCTGAGCAAGCACTTAGTCCGCTGAGCTATCTCCCCAGCCCTTGTTAGTCAATTTCTCATCACCATAGCAAATACTTGCTGCATTTAACCTATAAAAAGAGGGTTATAGGGGCCGGGGAGATGGCTCAGTAGGATAAGTGCTTGACTGACAAACGCAAGGATCTGAGTTCAATCCCTGGTTCCGCCAAAAAAAAGAGGGTTATGTTGTCTCTGCTCTATGACCAAATGCCCCTGCGGCTTTGGGCCATCAAGGCAGGAGGTCGGGGTGAAGCACATCTGCTCCACTCTTGTGACCTCTAAGTGTCCGGGTGCCCTACCAATACCTTTGGGTTCTGTTCCTTTAAGGGAAGAAGAGAATTTGGGGATTGCTGCTGTCTGTGCCATAGCTGTAAAGTCTGCCGGTAGTGGCAGAGTTGATTTTGAAGTCAGTTCCATTTGGTTCTGAGTCTTTCGTCTAACCAGCAGCCTTCTCTGTAAGGGCCAGCCTCAGGCCTCTAAGAAGCCGTGCTGGGAGGCAGGAGGATGATAACCTGATAGGCAATATTTCAGAAGCAGCATAAATCAGCACATAAAGAAACGCTCCATGTGCAGCGTAGCGCTGAGCGCTGTTGTGTTCGCAGCATGCTTTGGGGCTGGTCTCTGTGCTGATCCCACACAGTGTGTCCTCTGCAGCACGGGGCTTCAGGACTGTCCCTGTCATGTCCACTACTGTAGTGCCAGGCCTCCGCCTTTGCCTGGTACAAAGTTAGTTTGTGTTCAGTGACTTTATTTCATCTTTTTTTAAAAAAAGAATGAATGTTTTCACCAGGTAAAATGTGTGTTTCTTGCTTGTTTTGTTTTACGGTGCCAGGGACTGAACCCGGGGCCTCACTCCTGCTAGCTAAGCACTCTACCCCAACCCCACCCCCCAGCCCCCTGGGTCTCAGAAAGCAGATGTTTTTGTAGTGGCTCCCTTGTTCATGAGGAGGAAATTCAAGGCTAAAGGAGAATAAATAATTGTGTGTCAAGGGAAAGAACCTGAATCTGAGCCCAAGTGCAAGATTTTCTGGTTTTAGAATTTTAGTCTTTATTTCACTGAATAAGGAGTTAAGAACCTGTTCCAAATCATGAATTCTTTTGGCAGTCTGTTAAGCCTATGGTCCCGCCTGAGCCTAACAT